CAGTTTATTTTCTTCAAATTTCACACATCCTAATATTTCTATCAAGACAAAAATCTGGTATCTTCCCACAAAGGGGTAACATTTCTGAATAACTAAGAAGCCCATACAATGCGAAATAAGCATTCGATCCTCTCTAAACTTCACATATTCCAATATTTCTACCAACAAAAAATTAAAATATATTTTTTTAATTAAAAAAAATATTTTATGGGTATTATGTTTTTTTTTTAAATTTTTAAGAATTTAAATTTTATTATTTTTTTCTTCATTATAAAAAATACTGTTTAAAGGCTAAACTTCTTTTTTTTTTTTCTTAAATCATGGAATTTTCAATTTTTTTTGTTAAATTTAAAAAAAAAATAATTTCGTTTTCGTTTTTCTATTAAATTTCGTACCAATTTTTCTATCAACACAATACCTGTTGTGAATATGGAATACCCACCCCTTCAGGTACCTCCAGACTAAAAGGGATTTTTTAATATTTTTAAGAATTTAAAATTTATTATTATTATTTTTTTAATAAAAATGCTGTTTAAAGGCTAAAATCATTTTTTTGAATTTTTCAAAAAAAAATTATGGAAATAATTTCTCTCAATTTTTTAAAAAAATATATACTTTTTTAAATGCTATTTTTTGAAAAAATTAGATGATTTTTTTCTAAAAATATAAAAAAATTCAATTTTTTTCTTGAAAAAAAAAAATTAGATGTATTTTTTTCTAATTTTTTTTTTAAATCATGGAATTTTTCAATTTTTTTGTTAAAATTAAAAAAAAAGATTAATAGAAGCATTTTTTCGTTTTTCAATTCAATTTCATACCAATTTTTCAATCAACACAATATCTGTTGTGAATATGGAATACCCACCCCTTCATGTAACTGCAGAAAAAAAGGGATTTTTTTAATATTTTTAAGAATTTAAAATTAATTATTTTTTTTAAATGCTGTTTAAAGGCTAAAATTGTTTTTTTTAATTTTTTAAAAAAATATTGTATGGAAATCATTTTTCTCAAGTTTTTTTAAAAAATATATTTTATTAAATGCTATTTAAAAAAAAATTAGATGAATTCTTTCCAAAAATATAAAAAAGTTCAAAAAAAATTTAGATGTATTTTTTTCTAAAAATATAATTTTAAAGGTCCTTTTTAGGCGCCTTTTTATACTTTTGTAATTTTCTAAAGAATTTTTTGAGTTCTTTAGAGAATTTTTTTAATACTGGTTTTGTTACCAAAGTTTTGAAAAAAAAGTCGCTCAACTAAGACTTTGGACTCTACTTCATAAAAAAAAAATTAGATATCAAATGTCGTGTTTCAAAAAATAAAATATATTTACTTAATCTTCATCACATTTTTGTTGTTGTTTGTTGGCTCCTTATCGCCACTGTGTGCAGACATAAGTTCCGGCGGACAAAAAGACAAATGCGTTCATTACCATTGCAATGCGCAAGGTGATGTTGGGAGGAGTGAGTGCATCGTTTTTTTTTTGTAGGGACTTTTATTTGTTTTTTTTTTTTTTTCTATTGTTGTTGTGGCATTTCTTCTTTAAAAAAACAAACAAATATCTAACCAAAGTTTAAATTGTTTTTATTTTTGATATGATTTTGTATTTTTCTAAATTTTTATCTAAAATATTTAAATTGTTGGGTTCATTGCACTGAGAAAAGTGAACAAATTTCATTTATGTCTGCGATGAAATTGGCCATAAATAGAGGGTTATTTAAATGGCTTTCAAGGTCAGTTACAATTTAATATGTAAAAGCTTGTAAACCAGTCTTGAAGTAATGCCAACAAATTTTAATGAAAATCTTCTTGGCTCAGCTAGTCGGTGGTTTTAATTTAAGCCTATAGACTTCAGTGATGTCAAAAATTTAAAGAAAGGGTGAAATAAATAAAAAAAACTGCAAACTGGAGAACTCTTTTTGAATTTTGAATTTTTTAAATTAGAATTCAATCCGAAGTCTACATAAACGCAAAGGTAATTTTTTTTATTTAAAATGTGCTACCTTTCTCGAGGAAATATGTTGGGTTTTCAATGAAATTAGAATTTCCACAAGAGTGGCTCCCTTATGAACATTTCCTCCTCTCGAAATCGTTACTAAAAATATTTTCCTTAGAACGATCTCCCAATGAAAAACAAATCTCTTCTTTGAGCCCCGGTTGTCATGTTTTCGTTCCACAATGCTAGCCCTGTTTTCCTCTCTCATCCTACCGGTCACGAGTTACGGCAAAAAGCTTATCTATGTTTTATTTTCTTGAATAGGGAAAAAAATGCACGCCGTGGTCAAATGCGAATGTCAATAACATGTCTTGTTTTCAGCCACCAGACAATTGCAGTATCTGTCTCTTTATGTTATTGTTTTTTTTCGATTCAATAATTTAAATCAATATTAGGGTGGGATGAAAGAGGAAGTAAGGTGAGCATTCAGTAATGAACAAAAGGAAGAGTATGTCCATAGAAAATTCAGACGGAATATTCCTTAAATAAATGGGTGGGATAAAATAAATAATCGATTAAATTTATTAATAAAACAGGAATAAAAAAAACAATAGCGGAATAATATAAATAAATATTAAAATTAAGATATTAATTTTTATAATAAAAAAGAATTTAACTCTCCAAGAACTCGAAATGTTGTTGTCAACCCAATACACATTTTGTACTCTGATCAGTCGAATAAATTATTAATAAAATATAAATAATAACTTGTCACTTCTTCATTGGTTTATTTCAGGAATAAATCAACATAAATAGAAACCATCCTAAGAGAATATTTATAATTTAAAAAAAAAATATATATTACAATGGGGATTTTGCAGGAAAATGTTTTCGGAACGTGTTTTCAATTATTTTTAATATTTTTTTATTTGGATGTTATTTACAGAGAATGGGTATTTCCCATTGAAATTAATTTTTTGTTTGATTTCTTATCAACAGTAATTTTTTAAACATTTCACAAATCATTTGTTTGGCCCAAGGACGAACCCTATTGAAATTGGAGATAATCGGTCAAAATGTAGATATAGCTCCCATATATATCTTCGTCCGATTTGCCTTTTATTGTGTACCTAACGTGTAATATCAGTCCGAATAGTATGGAATCTTGCACGTACGATCAGATTGGACCTAAAAATAAGTATGCCAAATTTGATCGAAATCGGTTCAGATATAGCTATAGCTCCCATATATAACTTCGTCCGATTCACCTTTGATTGTGCACTAATATTTGCCCAAATTGGATGAAATTTGGCACTTTCGACCGAATTGAGTCTAGAAGCTAGTATGTCAAATTTGGTGAAGATCGGTTCAGATATAGCTATAGCTCCCATATATACGATTCATCCGATTTGTCATATTTGTTACCCACAGCCGTAATATGCACTCCGTAACAACGATATTCAGGGAAATATATCAAATACAGCTCAGAAATATCTTTGCCAAATTTTATCGAGATCGGTTCCGATTTGGATATAGCTCCCATATATATTTTTATCCGATTTCAAATTAATTGTGCATCAAATGGGCAATACAAGTCGGAATTTAAAGATACAAATGCTTCGGCATATTTAGTCCTTTGAACTTTAAATTATAATTATAATCATAGCGTGTATGATGGAAGTCTCCAATAAAACTTTTAATTGTTATGCACAGCTCTACTAAATTAGCAAAGTGGTGTAGGGTATCATAGGTGTAGGGTACCGACTTTAAGACTTTCTTTACTGGTTTTTTATTTGGAGTATTTTAGTAACCGTTAAAGTTTTTATTTCATGGCCTTTAAAAATTTATTCGGAGACTTTGCCACAGACATATCTATATTTGGAATATTTTAGTAGCCAACAACATTCATTCAAAAACCTTTCTATAAAAAATCCAGTTTGGAGACTTTTTCTTTTGGAGAATATTTCATTTGGAAAACTTTCTTAAAGGAGCAACCTTTTGGCATTTTAGGTTTAAGTGGAAAAATAATCGACTCCTATAAAATGTTTTGTTTGGAGACTTTTTAAAGAGAATATTTAATTTGAGGAGTTAATTTGGAAATATCATGATTTGAAGACTCTAATAGACAGCTATAGTGTTAAAGTGTTAAAGACTATAACATTTTTATTTGGAGACTTTTCCATAGACAGTTTTATTTTGTAGACTTTTTCTAGAGGTTCATTTGCGGAAATTTCGATGGAGTGTTCTTTTTGTTGAATTTTTAAATTAAAAAACCTTTCGCTTCAAATTTTTATTTGGTTTTGGAGATTTTCATAATTTTTTTTTTCACTTGGAGAGAAAAAGATCTTGATATGGAAAAATTTACGAGAAAATAAAATGTTTAGAGACATTTTCAAAAGAATCTAAATTTTATTGTATTTTTTATATTAAAAACAGACTTTTTTTATTGAAAATTAAATTTTGGAGACTTTACAAAAATTTTTTGAATGGTTCAAAGATTTTTTTCCTGAATAAATCTGTTCTGAAGGTTTTTTGTCGTACAAAATATTTTGCAGATTTTTTGAAGGGTCTTCTTAATTTTCTTATGGAGGCAAGGGGGCTTAAAGGCTTTCTTTAGAAAAATTATTTTGGAGATTTGTATTTACATTGTTTTGGAGACTTTCTATAGAAATGCTTTTTAGATATATTCAACTTTTTTTATTTATTTGGAGATTTTTTTTTTTGATTTTTGGAGACTTTACTTTCAGAGAACTTTTCGAAGAAGGATTTTTTCTCCTTTGGAGACTTTTCGTCAAAAGAAGTGTTTTAATTGAATGACTCTTTAAAATTGTGGAATATACTTCGAAAGTTCCCTAATTTTTATTTCACTTTATTTGAAACACAGATTTATTGGCCGCCAAGAGACCAACATGAATAGCAATCTGGAAAAATTGACCCAAAAACAGATAAATCTTCTGCAGGCAGAGGAGGGTACTTCGACCAAACAGGCTATCCTTTATGCCAAGGATAATGTAAGTATATTCGGAAAACGAGGTGAGCAAAGTATTTTATGTGTCTCAATTTATAGGTGTCCATTTCGGATGTGACCAGCAGTGAGTCGGGGACCATACGCGACAAATGGGGCAATGAAATTGAGTTTCTATTCTCCTGTATTGCCTTGTCCGTGGGTTTGGGTAATGTTTGGCGTTTCCCCTTCATTGCCCTGGCCAATGGGGGTGGGGCATTTGTTATACCCTATGTTATTGTTTTGCTGCTTATCGGCAGACCGGTTTATTATATGGAGGTGATATTGGGCCAGTTTTCCAGTCGGGGATGTGTTAAGGCATTTGGTATGGTGCCGTTGATGAAGGGTGAGTGGGGGTGGAGATTTTTTTTTAAATTTCACTTTAATAATACAATTTCTTCCTCTTTTTGGCTCAACAGGCATTGCCTATGGCCAGGTGTATTCCACTGCCGTGGCCACCACCTATTATGCCAGCATCATGGCCCTGACCATCAAATACTTGATTTCCTCCTTTGCCGACATTTTGCCTTGGACCTATTGCCGTCCGGAATGGGGAGCCCAGTGTATTGCCACGTCGGAGGCAATACCACAAACGACGAATGAAACCCTCAGCAAACATGTCTCCTCAGCTGAATTGTTTTTCACCAAATCCGTTCTACGTGAAGCCGACTCCCTCGAAGAGGGTCTGGGCTGGCCCAGTTGGGATTTGGTGCTTTGTCTAATGGCTGCTTGGATACTAATTGCCATCATATTAATCAAAGGTATACGCAGTTCGGGTAAGGCATCCTATTTCCTGGCTCTCTTTCCCTATGTGGTCATGTTTGTGCTGCTGTGGCGGGCGCTTACATTGCCAGGAGCCTTGGATGGAATTGTGTACTTTTTGAAACCACAATGGGATCAGCTTTTAAATCCACAAGTAGGTTAACACACACACACGCTCATTCTCACGTGGATATACCTATGTATGTGGTGACCTGTTTTTTTCCTATTTTGTTTCCATTTCCTTTCCAGGTCTGGTACAATGCCATAACCCAAATGTTCTTCTCCTTGGCCATATGTTTTGGTACTCTGGTCATGTATGCCTCCTTTAATAATTTTCGCAAAAATGTTTACAGGTAAGTTGCTGAAGATGAGGGGAGGACGGAGGAAGGGGGGAGGGAGCAACAAATGATAATTTACTGCTGCATGGCCCATAAATTCATCCGCCTTTATGAGGCCACAAACAATATTGTAGTTGTTGTTATTATTATTGTTGTTGTTGTTGTCCTTTTTAGGGATGTCATTATCATCACCAGCGTGGATTCCGTTACCTCCATTCTGGCTGGCTGCATTATATTCGGCATCCTGGGCAATCTGGCCTATGAAACAAACACCTCGGATATTTCCAAAGTCGTAAAGGGAGGTGCCGGCCTGGCCTTCATCTCCTATCCCGAGGCCATAGCCAAATTCAAACATCTACCTCAGGTCTTTGCGGTCCTGTTCTTTTTGATGCTGCTGGTGCTGGGCATGGGCAGCAATGTCGGCATGGCTTCGTGTGTGATAACGGTAATAAAGGATCGCTTCACGTTTCTGTCACACTGGATGTTGGCCGTTGCCATGGCAGTGGTGGGTTTTGTGTGTGGCCTTGTCTACATGACCCCCGGAGGACAATTCATTTTGAATTTGGTGGATTTCTTTGGCTGTTCGTTTATTGCCCTCTTCTTGGCCATTGCCGAGCTGATGACAATTGCCTGGATTTATGGTGAGTTGATTTTTTGTTTATAAAACCCTCTCAAATTTATAACCTGGGGAAGAGTCGCTTATGGAGTGGAGAGTTTAAAAGTCTCCACTAAAAAAGGTTTTTATGGGAGAAGTCCTTCCATAAAAATAACTTTTGATGAGTATAAGTCCCAAAAAGTTTTTTTTTTATGGATAATGTTTTCTAAGGCAGACTTTGTCTTGAAAGGCGATTTTCTAAGTCTTCAGAAAAAAATCTATAACAAAATCAGATTTTTCGGTGCAAAATTTATCCAAGAAAGAAAAGTCTCCACATGAAAATTTTCCCATAAAGAAAATATTTTAGAAAAATTTTCCAGTGGTTTTTAGGTTTTTTTAAAATTTGAAATCCCTAAATTTACCCTTCATTTAATCCCTTGTCTCCTGCAGGTGTCAAACGTTTGTGCCAGGACATTGAATTTATGTTGGGCGTAAAAACCGGCCTCTACTGGCGCATCTGTTGGGCTCTCATCACTCCCGGTTTGATGTTTGCCGTCTTGGTTTACACTCTGATTACCCTGGAACCATTGACCTACAATGGTGTTGGCTATCCTGTAAGTGTTTACAATGTGGCCTGGATTTTATGGGGCATTGGTGTGGCTCAATTGCCGCTGTGGGCCATTCATGCCATTTACAAACAAAGAGGCAGCAGTTTTATGGAGGTGAGTATGGAAATGGAGAGTTACAGGTTTTTTGAATTAAAAATGCGTAAATATTTTTTTAGAAATTCTACAATTCATTGAAACCCTGCCGCAACTGGGGCCCAGCGGATCCAAAACTCTATCAAGAGTATTTGGTTTTTAGGAATAATTTACCTGAAGCTGATGCACTGCCGAGAGAGCATCCCCCTTCATTGTGGTCTAGATTTTGTAATAATATCTTCCATTGAGTTGAGATTTGGAACTATTGTTAGTTTTTAGGTATTCATGGATGGGAATGGAGTACCCCATATTGCCGTCTACATACCACATCCTAGATAGCTGATATTTTGTAGTGCTCTTTAGATAAATAATAACACATAGTTTTAGTTCAACCATGGACTGAATAATGTATAGCCCATGAATTGCTTCCTTATATTTGCCCTGTTCCAGAACCTGTAAGAATCTACTAGTTTTTTTTTTTTTGATGTCATAAACAAACCAAAAAATGGTTTTCTGAAAAAAGTTGTTTTAAAGTCGAATTGGCTGGTTGCGCCAAAACGGTTGCAGCGCCCTCTGTTGCGAAATAACAGAAAAAAAAACACTTCCCTCTGTCAATACATTATTTAGTCTATGGTTTAACATCCTTAAACAAACATTATGGTGTCCTTGCAACAAGGATTCTAAATAGAATAATGACAAAAATTATTCAAATGTCAATAATGTGCTTATATATGTTTGAAAAAAAAAATAGATTAAGAAGTAAATGTTATAAGGTATCTTCAATAAATTAAAATAAAAAAAGTAAAAAAGCAGCTAAGTTCGGCCGGGACGAACGTTGAATATCCTTCACCATTTGAAAGGAATTTGGAAATTTTCAAAAAAAAAAAAATCGTTAAAAATTCAGTTAAAATCTTAATAATACCGAATATAGGGGTCTACACGAAGACGTGGACCTCCATAGTCAAAGGCCATAATAATATTCAAATACGAAATTTGAAAAAAAAAATCCGGTGAATAATGTCGCTAAAATCATCAAAATACCGAATATAAGGAGGTACCGATATATGGGGGGTATACGAAGACTTGGATCTGCGTTGACAATTTTCTGTCACAGGCTGTAATACCAACTACGAACTCTAAATACAACATTTGAAACAATTCCGGTGAATAATGTCGCTAAAATCATCAAAATACCAAATAAAGGGAGGTACCGATATATGGGGGCTATACGAAGACCTGCTTAGACAATGTCCACACATTCCACATGTACATATTAGGAACTTCAAATACGAAATTTGAAACAATTCCGTTGAATAATGTAGCTAAAATCATCAAAATACCAAAGGATGGGGAATGGGGTTACCAGATGGGGGCTGTACGAAGACCTGTACCCGCATAGACAATTTTCTGTCACAGGCTGTAAAATCCATTACGAACTTTAGATACGAAATTTTAAACATTACCGGTGAATAATGTCGATTAAATCACCAGAACACCGAAAATGGGGAGGTACCATTATATGGGAGCTGTACCAAAACGTGGACCTATATGGCCCATTTTCAATACCAAAAGGCCTGCAGAAATAATAAATATTTGAGTAAAATTTTATCAACCTAATTCATTTCGTTCGGAGGCTAGAGTGATTTCTACAGGCGGACAGACGGTGGAGAGTATAAAAATATACATACTTTTATACCCTAATTTCATTCGGAAGCTAGAGTGATTTGTACAGACGGACAGACGGTGGTGAGTATAAAAATATACATATATCGGAGCCGAGTTCCACCAAATGGAAACGTACGTCCCGAAATTCACTTCATTTGGGCTGATATAAGCCATGATTTCCACAATAAACCTGAAATCGGATTAAGGATATATCCAAATCATGGTCGATCTCGATTAAATTTGATAAAGGCATTTCCGAGCTCTATAAGATATCTGTTACCAAATACTATTGATGTCAAATGCATATTCGGAATGTAAGGGACTTAAAGACCAAATCGGATTAAACATATATATGGGAGCTAAACCAAATTTGATGAACTTGTTTCCAGAATGAATACGGTCGGATGTGTCAAAATTCAGGTCATTTGGCGCACAATAAACCGGAAATCGGTTGAAGATATATGGGAGCTATACTCAAATCTGAACCGATCTTGATAAAATTTGGCAGAGGTATTTCTGGGATGTATCTGACATTTGGTACTAAATATCATTGCTGTGGAGTGCATATTACGCATGTGAGGGACTTAAAACCCCAAATCGGATGAAACATATATATGGGAGCTATAGCTCTATATATGAACCTATTTCCTCCAAATTTGATGTACTTGCTTCTAGACTGAATTCGGTCAGATGTACAAAAATTTGGTGCACAATTAACCCGAAATCGGTTGAAGATATATGGGAGCTACATATAAATTTGAACCGATTCTCATGAAATTCAATATAATTTGTCCTTGGGTCAAACAAATATTGTTTGGAAAATTTCATGTCAGTCGGATAAAAAATGCGACCTGCACTTTGTTCACAAAAATACATGGGCGGACGGACGGACTGACATGCATAAATCGACTCAGAAAGTGATTCTATGAAGATCCTCAAAAATAACTATGGGCCTATCTCGTTTCTTTCTTCATGTTACAAACAAATAATACCCATACCACTATGTGGTGTAGGGTATTAATCCCTTAAGAGAGTACTATATTAAAAATCTCCCCTACGCAATTCTCTATTCAAAAAGTGTTACTAAGAAGAGGGTTTGGCACTCGATTATTTGTATTCAAAGCTCCAATTTGCTCGATTTTACTCGTGAGTCAAAAATACCCGAGAGTAGGAAGCTTACTTTTTACCCTTTTGTTTTATGTGAAACTCCTCGAGAGTACTCCCGGTTGTTACTCACAGGAGTACTTCCACTCAAATACGAGTGGAGAGAGAAACTCTCTTTTAAGCTCTGTTTTTACCACCAAATGAGCATTGATAGTAATTTAATTACCAATAATATATTACAGTGAAAACAGAATTCCTTAGTTCGCCTATCGAGTACTCAGAAGCCACTTTAGACAATTTTAAAAAGTAGCACTCAGTGGTATTTTTGCCTCTTATTCTGAACATTGCTCTTCTCATTAAATAATCGAGAGAGTGACAACAATTTGGAAAAACGATTGAGAGCGTAATGTTGAAGTTATCAGGAAGTACGTTAAGGGAAAACATGTAAAAATATGAAAACTAGATGGCAGCTCTTCAAAACAAATATATCGACCAATTCGAAGCAGAGCTCTTTCGATCAAAATGAAAAAATAAAAAATAATATGAAAAGTAGATGGCACTCCTTCAAAATCGACTCATAAGGCAATGAGAAGCAAAAATCTTTTAAGAAAACACTTAATATTTTTTAATTTTCATAGGCATTGTTTTGGTTTTTTATTATTTTCATTTAATTTTAAGCTTATTAAGTAATTAATTTGTTAGTTTAGTGTACTTTTTGTTTTATTTTTTTCTAGTGGCAATTAAAACAAATTTCTTATTAGACGATGCTCTATTTTAAATACTATATTGTTTAATTTTGTTATTATTCTTATTATTAATTTATTCCATATTTCTGGTACTCTCTCTTAGAATTTCATACGTATATACATAACTACGCACAGGCGCCGATTTTTTTATTAATTTTTTATTTATTCATAATTTTATTAAATAAATGAAAAACTATTTTGTATTACCTTTTTTTGCTGCTTACTTTTTCAAATGAGGTTTAGAATTTTTTCAGGTTATAATTCTAATATTTTAGAGTATGCTTCAATTTGAAGTACATATGATTGTGGAAAGTGTGTGTTTGTGTAAATAATTATATATATTTAATTTATTTTTTAATTTATTTATATTTTTATCTATTTTTCAATTTGTTGCATTATTTTTTGTAATTTTTTCTTATTTGCTGAATTATTTAATCTATTTTTATTAAATAAGCATAATTTGTATTTATTCTTTAAAAAGTTGTAAATTACAGAGGTGCTTAAAATGGTCTTTAATTAATAATTTTTATGATTTGTTTGCTTCCTCAGCAAAAAAAAAAAAACAAAATTCATTTCACAAGCCTTAATCCAAAAAAAAAAAAAAAAAAAATATTTTACGTAATAAATTACAAATTTTCTTTTACTATGGAATTCATAAAAATTACGAATAGGTCAAACAATGAATTTTTTGGATATTACCATATTCGGAAAAAGCTAAAGTGGATTTATTAAGTGGATCCTCATCCTATCTTACTGAAAAGAATAGCTTAATTGAATTTTGACTTGTGAAATAAAATTGTTTTCAATTTGCATTGTTTTTATTTAAACATATTTGTGTGAATATTATTTAGTATCACAGCAGTTTTTTGAGTATTTTATTCATATAAATTTATAATATTTTGTTTATCTCCTTAGCCGACTCCTTTACCCATTCCATCTTAAAGTCACCTTAATAGGCCACAAGATATTTTTGCAGACGCCCCTTAAATTTATATTTCCATCATTTAAAGTTGCTCTCTTTACTCTCTCTTTATTCACAAAGAAATAAATTTATGTTGGCTTTGATGTGCGTTTATTTATGTTTATTTTGTTTTTCTCCTTTGAGTTTTATGTTAATTTTTATAACTGTTGCTGTTGTTGGTGATTTTAACCCTTAAAGGAATAGGTTTTTATACAGAAGACCGAAAGGCTCCAAAGGAAACAAATGCATATACACAGACCTTCTATGAGAATTCGTAGACTATCCATGAGGATAACAAAGATATTCTTTGAGAGTGTCATTTGAAGTTATTTTAGAAGATCAACTTATCTGAGAGAAAAGGTGTTTGGAAGACTTTTTAAGGGATCTTCCATTCAAATATCAACTTGTCATCAAAATATGGATATTTTTATTATCGAGAGAAATCCTACGAGAAAAATCAAGTCATCTATGAGAAGATTTACGAGTATTAGAAATCTTTTGTAAGATTGTTATAAGACGTCCCCAAACATAATGCGAAGATATCACTGCTGATCGCCTTTAGAAAAAAAACATGCCCATAATCTCCTCGAAATGAGCGAGATGAGCACCAGATCTTCCATGATACATGATCATAGAAGACCTGCTGGTCTTTGCCATAGAAGACCAAGAGGTTTTCGCCATGGAGATTTACTCCATAGACGACCGACCTAGTGAACTTCTTCATAGAAGACTGACCAGAAGGACTCTATAGAAGAAAACTTGGAGGTCTTCTCCACAGAAGAAGACCTGGTGTCTTCTACATAGAAGAAGACCTGGAGGTCTACTCCTAGAAGAAGACACGGGGGTCTTCTCCATAGAGGAAGACCTGGAGGTCTTCTTCATAGAAGAATATCCTTGAGGTCTTCTTCATAGAAGAAGACCTGGAGAACTAGGAGTCTTCGCCATAGAAGACCTGGAGGCCTTCTTCAAAGAAAACATGGAGGTCTTCGCCATTGAAGACCTGGAGGTCTTCTCCGTAGAAGTCCTGGAGGTCTTTATTATAGAAGACCTGGAGGTCTTTATTATAGAAGACCTGGAGGTCTTCTTCATAGAAGACCTGGAGGTCTTCTTCATAAAAGACCTGGATGTCTTCACCTGGAGGTCTTCTTCATAGAAGAATATCCTTGAGGTCTTCTTCATAGAAGAAGACCTGGAGAACTAGGAGTCTTCGCCATAGAAGACCTGGAGGTCTTCTTCAAAGAAAACATGGAGGTCTTCGTCATTGAAGACCTGGAGGTCTTTATTATAGAAGACCTGGAGGTCTTCTTCATAGAAGACCTGGATGTTTTCTTCATAGAAGACCTGGATGTCTTCTTCATAGAAGACTTGGATGTCTTCTTCATAGAAGACCTGGAGTCTTCTTCTTCTTCATAGAAGTCCTGGAGGTCTTCTTCTTCTTCATAGAAGACCTGAAGGTCTCTTTCTTCTTCATAGAAGACCTGGAGGTCTTCTTCTTCATAGAAGACCTGGAGGTCTTCTTCTTCATAGAGACCTGGAGGTCTTCTTCTTCATAGAAGTCCTGGAGGTCTTCTTCATAGAAGACCTGGAGGTCTTCTTCAAAGAAAACCTGGAAGACTTGGATGTCTTCTTCATAGAAGACCTGGAGTCTTCTTCTTCTTCTTCATAGAAGTCCTGGAGGTCTTCTTCTTCTTCATAGAAGACCTGGAGTTCTTCTTCTTCATAGAAGACCTGAAGGTCTCTTTCTTCTTCATAGAAGACCTGGAGGTCTTCTTCTTCATAGAAGTCCTGGAGGTCTTCTTCTTCATAGAAGTCCTGGAGGTCTTCTTCATAGAAGTCCTGGAGGTCTTCTTCTTCTAACAAAACTTGGAGGTCTTCTTCTTCTAAGAAAACCTGGAGGTCTTCTTCTAAGAAAACCTGGAGGTCTTCTTCGTAGAAGACCTGTAGGTCTTCTCCATAAAATACCTGGAGGTATTCTACATAGAAGAAGACCTTGAGGTCTTCATACGAGACCTATAGTCTTTCTCAACAGAAAACATAAGACCTCTATGTTTTAGAAGACGTATTGTTTTTCTAAACAGAACCCCTAGGGGCCTTCTCTTTAAAATATCTATAGTTCATCTTCATAGGTTATCTATGGGTCTTTTCCGAGGAGAAATTCTTCTTCATAAAAAACATGGAGATATTCTTCATAGAAGACCTGATAGGATACCTAAGTATCCTTGTTTGAAGGACATTTTTAAAAATTTGAATTCAAAACATCTATCAATCCCTTAGTATCCAATAAACTTTCTTATCCGCTCCTTCAAGGGTTAAAGGCATTATTTATTCTCTGAATTAAAATAAACATCTGCATTAAAGTGACAGCCAAAGAGCGGGAAAGGAGGCCAGAGTGGGAGAATTGTATTGTATCGTATGAATATATTTAAATCACATGCAATATGGCTATGGTTTTCCTTTTTTTGTTGTTGTTGTTTTATTTTTTTCTTTGTATCCTTTGTGTCTTTATTGTTGTATAATTTAGCACTTAATGATTGATTCATTGGTTTATTCTCTTCTCTTCGGTTCGGTTGTTTGGTTGGTAGGCTTGATTGTTTGTTGTTGTTTGTTTTTGTTTTTTTTTTCTCAATGGAGAGTAGCCTCCTCCTTTGAGTGGGTGCCATTGTAAATTATTATAATTTTTGTTAAATTCAATTTAGTTTTATTTTATGTAAAAAAAGCTTTTTTCAGGGATTTTTTTGCTGGCATTGCTTTAAAGTTTAAATTTCTTGGTTAGCCTAGAGAAAAAAATTGTTTATTTTTTATTTTTAATTATTGCTGCATTTATTTATTTTAGGTTTTTTTTGTACAAGCTTAATTTAACTTTGGTCACAAAAAAAGGTGTTGTTAATAAAATTTCATAAAATTTCCTAATTTTGTTTTATTTTTTTATTTTTGAATATTTTATTTTAAATAATTGTTGTTGTGAGTTTTGTGGTTGTTTTTGTATTCACTAAATATGGTCCTATAGGATATTTGCATTTCATAAGTTCTAGATTTATTATTTAATTTACTCTGTGTTTTTAAATTACTCTGCGTGTGTGTCTTTGTTAATATTAAATTGGAAGAGATTTTGAATATCACTAATATGTTGAGTTTGTATTACAACTACATACATATGTAGGTTTGTAGCTTTGGACTTTGTTTTGAAAAACAAAAAACTTAAGGCCAAATTAAATCAAATGTGCCTCTAAATTTAACTCTCATCCCATTTTCCATGAAATCATAAAATAAACTTTATACCACAACTTTTTTGGAATCTTAAATAAATAATGAAATGAAAAAAAAAACATAACCATAATCTTTTGAACACCACCACCCCCTCCTACCCCTTCCCTATCCCTACAATGAAACCAAAAATAAAAAAACGAAAATCACTTTACCAAAAATCAATATTTTACTCTATTTGTTGTTGGTTTTTATTTGGTTTTCTATGTATCACCCATATATTTTTTTTGTTTTGTTCCATTGTCCCTCTTTTTTGTGCCATTTAAGCTTTTTTTTGCTTTTCTGAATCGTTGTTCCAATTTCTTTTCCATTTTTTTGTGTGAGTGTTTTTTTCTGATTTTGGTTTTTTTCTTCTTCTTGCCTAACTAAAACGCCTGTATTGGCCTATATAACCCCGTATAGCCACACAGGCGAGCTCTCAGGGCAGGTATTAAAACGGCAGCAGCATTTATGTCCTTTAGAAGTTCGGCACACTCACAGATAAGCAGGTACATTTTATCGCCACGTTGGGAAGTGCTTTTATGCAAAGATATGCGCCGTAAGCCGGCAGTACGTGGTAGATATCTGTAAAAGACACGAAACGAAAGGAAACAAAAGTAAAGGCAACAGCACACAACTATGCAAATAAGGTGGAGGAAAGAAAAAGGATCTAAAAAAAGTTCTTAAGGATTACATTTTATCGGAAGAAACCAATACAAGAGGATTTCTAAAAGAAATTTCAGATCATTCCCTTTGGCTATAAAATAGAGTAGGAGACTTCAGTCAATAATAGACTGGAAGCGAAATGCGATTGGAGTCAGTATTTGAGGCCTGTTATTGCCTTCAGTACATGCATTGAATTCCGACTCAGTTATTGTCTCGAGAGTCAATTTGTGACATCAGAATCAGTTATTGACTTCAGAGTCAATTTTTGACATCAAAATCAGATCATCCAGAGTAAATTATTAACTCCCGAATTAATTTTTGACTTCAGAGCCAATTTTATACTTGAGAATTTATTTTTGACTCCACACTTAACTATTGACTTCAGAGTCAATTATTGACTCCAGAATCAGTTATTGTCTTTAGAATCAATTATTGTCTTTAGAGTCAATTATTGATTTCAGAGGCAACTATTGACTGTAGAATCAATTATTGAGTTTAAAGTCAATTTTTGACTTCAGAGTCAATTACTGACTTCAGAGTAAATTATTGACCTCAGAGTCAATTATTGACTTGTGAGTCAATGTCAATTGTTGACTCATGTCAATTATTGACTCATGTCAATTATAGACTCCTGTCAATTATTGACTCCTGTCAATCATTGACTCCAGTCAAATATTGACTCTTGTCAATTATTGACTGTAAAATCAATTATTGACTTTAAAGTCAATTTTTGACTTCAGAGTCAATTTTTGACTTCAGAGTCAATTACTGACTTCAGAGTAAATTATTTACCTCAGAGTCAATTATTGACTTTAGAGTCAATTATTGACTTGTGAGTCAATTATTTACACCAGAGTCAATTATTGACACAAGAGTCAATTATTGACTCCAGAGTCAATTATTGACTCCAGAGTCAAATACCGAATTCATAGTCAATGATTGACTTCAGAAGTCAATCCGGTCAATTATTGACTCTAGTCAATTATTGACTCTAGTCAATTATTGACTCTAGTCAATTATAGACTCTAGTCAATTATTGACTCTAGTCAATTATTGACTCCTGTCAATTGTTGACTCATGTCAATTATTGACTCATGTCAATTATTGACTCCTGTCAATTATTGACTCCTGTCAATCATTGACTCCTGTCAATTATTGACTCCTGGCAATTATTGTCTCCTGGCAATTATTGACTCCAGTCAAATATTGACTCTTGTCAATTATTGACTGTAAAATCAATTATTGACTTTAAAGTAAATTTTTGACTTCAGAGTCAATTTTTGACTTCAGAGTCAATTACTGACTTCAGAGTAAATTATTGACCTCAGAGTCAATTATTGACTTTAGAGTCAATTATTGACTTGTGAGTCAATTATTTACACCAGAGTCAATTATTGACACAAGAGTCAATTATTGACTCCAGAGTCAATTATTGACTCCAGAGTCAAATACCGAATTCATAGTCAATGATTGACTTCAGAAGTCAATCCGGTCAATTATTGACTCTAGTCAATTATTGACTCTAGTCAATTATTGACTCTAGTCAATTATAGACTCTAGTCAATTATTGACTCTAGTCAATTATTGACTCCTGTCAATTGTTGACTCATGTCAATTATTGACTCATGTCAATTATTGACTCATGTCAATTATTGACTCCTGTCAATTATTGACTCCTGTCAATCATTGACTCCTGTCAATTATTGACTCCTGGCAATTATTGTCTCCTGGCAATTATTGACTCCAGTCAAATATTGACTCTTGTCAATTATCGACTCTTGTCAATTATTGACTCTTGTCAATTATTGACTCTTGTCAATTATTGACTCCTGTCAATTATTGACTCCGGTCAATTATTGACTCCTGTCAATTATTGACTCCAGTCAAATATAGACTCCAGTCAATTAATGATTTCTGTCGATTATTGTTGATAACTGTCCGACATTGGTGACTTTAGTCTATTCATTGGCTTCAATCAATTATTATTTCCAGTCGTGGACAAACATCTTTCTTAGATGATTCGGCTAATTTTATTCAAATATCCTTAAATGACAAAGTCGTCATAGACATCGACAGCTAATATCCGGTATGTTGTCATATCAGCCTATCTGTCAACTGACACTAACAAGAAAAAAAACCAATCAGCAGTTTTTTTTTGATACCCACCTGTATAACATCCTAGCACCCGTCCAATACAGCCAATTCTTTTCAAAGCGTTCACCATCGTCGCCTTCGAAGACCTTTAATGAAAAATAAAAAAACACGAAAATGTTTTTTTTGTGTTGTTTATTAGACTAACGTCAAAACAAATGACAAGACAGCTAACATGGCAATAACAACAAGGATAAGCATCAAGCAGGATAATAACAACAGCAGCAACACACACAAAAAATAGTGGCAAAATTTCTTAAATTACAATTTAAATATAACATGAGACTCAGCGATATAAGTTCGCTACAGGACATTAATGAACAGTGATTGGTGTAGACATGCGGAGCAGGAGGATGGATGTGGGGTGCTACATAATAGATAGACTATGTCTGCTGAAGACACATGCAGCCAGCCAGCAAGGACAAACTAATCACACCGACAAACTTACCTTAAATACTGAAATGATATAACCGGTGGCCGGAGTTTGTGTCTTCTTAAAGCTGCCACTTTCACTGGGGGCCAACTGCAGCGGCGGACGACATATGGCAGCCACTTCACTGTATAAATCTAAGGTATGAGCGGCAGTGTATCTAAAATTCAAATCCAAAAAACGGAAGAAGAGTAGAGGGAGAAATAGAAAACGAATTAAACACCAAAAAGAGGGCATGAAAAAACCAAACTAATATCCTTGTCAACATACAATGGTCGAGATAAATTAGCCAGGAAAAAATATTGACCAACAATATGCCATAAGCCAGCACCCAGTTTCATTGTTCCCAACTCTGTTGCAATTCGGTGCGGCTACTTACAATTCATTTGGAATGTCATCGGCAGCAGCAGCTGCAGAGTGGAGGCAACGAACCGTGGCGAATGTGATAAAAAATACGGAGATGTGACACAAATAAATCACGGAATGAATAAAAATAGCCGTGATCAATTTGTGTGTGTGTGTGTGTGTGTGTGTGTGGGGACACACAAACATACATCCACCAAGTTCCGCCAAAGGATATCCTTTACCAAAGGAATCCAATCTGTTGGCAAGTATGCCACAAATTTGTTTTTCTGGAACCAATCCAACAATTATTATCTCAGATCTATGAACTTGCCTGCCAGTCAGTTTGTCGGTGAGTGAGAGAGTGAGAGGGTAAGGGAATCAGTGGTCGTAGAGTGGAAGATAAACGCACAAATTGTTTGGAAACTCTGTCACCGGAAGGCATTCATGATTATGTACTGTGAGAAAATAAACCTTGAGGCATTTATTAAAGGATTTTTTCAGAGATGAATGGGAGAATATTTTATAAAAAACAGTTTTCGAGCATTTCCAAGATGCAAAGGAAATATTTCAGGATTGTTAGGAAAATATTTTAAAAGGGAGAATAATCAAGGATTTTTAAGCATTTTAAAACCTCAATTCGAACTCCCGCTCTTATTTTTAAAACAGGAGTACTCTTGAGCAGCCACACATAAAATAAAAGAGTAGAGAGTAAACTTCTCCTAAAATTCACACTCTTCGAGAACTATCGCCCGGGAGTATTTTTCACTCTTTCAAAAGTTTTTCTAAGAACTTTCAGAGCAATAATTCTCCAAGGACTTATAATTTTATAGAAATGTGCAGATTTTATAGAAATCCAGCAGATTATGAAAGTAGAGCTGAAAAAAGAAGACATGTGTATCGGCGTTTTGAAAGTTAACATTGTAAAGTAACCTAAATAGAGGGGCGAATTCCCCTCTCTTCGACAAATTTTTGTACATTTTCGAAATAAGATTCCTCAGAATCCATGCATTTGAGCTACATACTGTCCTCGGCAATATTGCAGATAAAAATCCAAGGAATATTTTTGTTGAAAATTGTATCCCCCAAGCGAGTCAAAAAAGGGGTATTTTTGGTCTTTTTTCCAAGAAATGCCTAAAAACTCCCTCTGCCACAAATTTTTGTAAATTTTCGAAATAAGATTCCTCAAAATCCATACATTTTAGGTATATAGTGCCCTGGGCAATATTGCAGATAAAAATCCAAGGAATATTTTTGTTGAAAATTGTATCCCCCAAGCGAGTCAACAAAGGGGTCTTTTTGGTCCTTCTTTCAAAAAATGATTAAAAACTCCCTCTTCCACAAATTTTCGAAATATGATTCCTCAGAATCCATGCATTTTAGGTATATGTGGTCTTCGGCAAATATTGCAGATAAAAATTCGGAGATTATTATGGTGGAAGTTTTTAACACCCAAGCGAGTCAAAAAACGGGTCTTTTTGGTCCCTTCTCCAAATGTAGTTAAAAACTGCTTCTTCCACAAATTTTTGAACCTTTTCGAAATAAGATTCCTCAGAATCCATTGATTTGAGCTATATAGTGCCTTGGGCAATATTGCAGATAAAAATTCGGAGATTATTATGGTAGACATTTTTTACCCTCAATCGTATCAATAAACGGGTCTTTTTGGCTCATTTTTCAAAAAAACAATTTCAATATGGCTAAAAACTCGCTTTACACGGCATTGTAGAAAGTCAAAATATTCCACAAAATTATTGGCCATAGAATTCTACTATAGGCCCCAGAAGGTGTCAAGGGTCTAAATCTTATCTAAAAGTCAGGAATTTATAAAAATTGAATACGCATTTAAGGGTTAAAACCGTATTTTACGTGAGTTTATGCCAAAATCTCCAGCAATGCATTATTATAGAAGGATGATGCCAAAGAGAAAAATATTCTTCATCAAATTTTAGCATAAGTCTCCAAAGATAAGAAATCTCTACTTCCATTGCATAACAAAAGAAATAACGAAAATATTCCCCAATTTTTTTGTTAACGATTTCTTTTCACTTTTTTCCAGTTGATGCCGTACTTTATGTGAATTCATGCCGAAATCTGCAACAAATCTTTATTTTAGAAGAATGGCGTAAAAGACAAAAATATTCTTCATCAAATTTTACTATAAGTCTCCAAAGATAAGAAATCTCTACTTTCATTGCATATCTGAAAAATATTAGCATCAATATTCACGAAAAAAAAAAAAACGAAAATATTCCTTAATATTTTGATCAATTTTTTTTTGAAATTGTGCAAAAATCTCCAACAAAGCGTGATTATAGAAGGATGACGTCAAAGAAAAAAATATTTTTCATCGAATTTTACTATAAGTCACCAAAGGAAAAAAAAATCTACTTCCATTGCATATCAAAAAATATTAGCATCAAGTTTCCTAAAAAATTTAATTTCTCCTCGAACTCTTTTTTGAGTTGAGGCCGTACTTTTTGTGAATTCATGCCGAAATCTTCAACAAATCTTTATTTTAGAAGTATGATGTCAAAGACAAAAATATTCTTCATCAAATTTTATTATAAGTCTCCAAAGATAAGAAATCTCTACTTCCATTGCATATATAAAAAATAATAGCATCAATTTTCCCGAAAAAAACGAAAATATTCCTTAGTTTTTGATCAATTTCTTTTGTGAGTTTGTACAAAAATCTCCATCAAAGCATCATTTTAAAAGGATGTTGTCAAAGAAAAAAATATTCTTCATCAAATTTTGCTATAAGTCTCCAAAGAAAATAAATCTATATTTCCACGGCATATCAAAATTATACTTGCATCAATGTTCACAAAAAAAATCAGAAAATATAGCCTCAATTGTTGATAAATATTCCCTTGGGATGAGTTAACGGCGTTAGGGCGAAAATCTCCAACAAAGCATCATTTTAGAAGGATGACGTCAAAGACAAAAATATTCCTCATCAAATTTCATTATAAGTCACCAAAGAAATTAAATCTATATTTCCAACACATCTCCAAAAAATATTTGCATTAATGTTCCCAAAAAACCCCGAAAGTATTCCCGATTTTTTTGTCAATTTTTTCTTTGACTTTTTTCGAGTTAACACCTGAAAGTAACATAAAATTTCGTTTTTGGCGGAAGGTGTCAAAAGATGAAATATTCTACACAAAATTTCACTATTAATCTCAGAATAAATAATATACCTAGGTGTAATGGTTTTTTTGAAAATAACATAGAAATTTATCCCACACCAACTTTGAAAATCATTAATGGGTTCTTAAATTTTACCCAAGAGATGTTTTACGATTTTTTCCCCGGTAGATTATCATTTTTTTTTTCAGGGACATCTCCTTCAATTTCTCCCCATGTATGTTGACACACATGTACATTGATCCTTTGTGTGGTCTCCAAACTTACCTTAAGTTTTTTGGCTCAAATTTCGATAGTGAGGAAACTCTTATGCCCGAATAAAAGTTTGAAGGATCCGTTTGTGTGGTATTTATAACATAATAGGTAATAAAAGGAAATTCGGCTGAGTGGAGAATAAAACGGAAAATAAGAAAACACATTAAATCACAACAACAACAACAAAAACACCCTCCAAATTTTATTCTTACAAATTTTCTCCATATTGGCCAATAGCATGCCACCCACCGCTGTATTGGCCTGTTGCACTTCCGTCAAAAGTTCCGAGGCCACTGAACGTTGTTTCAGCAATGGATGGGCGAGGGGGGATTCAAGCACCGGGTCAATGGGTTCGAGGGGACTCATCAAATGAACTAAAATGCATAATTTGGGATCGGATACCTCCAGAACACTGAGGGGGCTGGAAGGTTTCGTTGAATTACCATCGACGGGGGATGGTGGCAGCTGGAAGAGAAACATGAATCTATGCTTTTAATAAATCTTGAAAATATATAACTACTACAACTCACCGGTATGCCAGCTGGCAGAAAACGATCTACACTATGTACAGGTATTATGAAACAATCACGATCCAGGGTGGCCAAGGATATGGGTTCGCTGCGCACACCGCCTGAGGACATGGACACAAGGCCATTGTTGGGACCCATGGCCGAGCCGCTGCCAGTTATGCCATAGCTAGCTATAAAAACCAATATAAATAAAAATAATTATTGTTTTATTTAAAAATTTATTTAAATAACAAAAAAATCCACATCTAAAGCTTAAAGCTATATTACAAAAGCCCAACTAGTAAAGCTCTATTTGAAGTCAAAATTGTTTGTTGAATGAATATTGATTTTTTCTTCACACACAGTTCCGTTTGAGTTTTGTATAGAGTTTGAGGTGTTAGTCAGTTCGAGGATGGAGGATTGGTGGTTAGAAAGCTATTATCCTTGGATTAGTTTCACAGACAGGGATCTCAGGCGCGCCTAAAAGCTTGCCAAGCTTTGATTAGTAGAAATTTACACACAAATCCATTGAAAGAGAGAGAGAGGGAGAGAGTCTTTAGTTTGAGGGTTTTTGGAGATTTAATGAATAATGGGTGAAAATGTAGAAACGAGGGGGAATATGTGCCGAAGATATTTGGGAATGGGGAAATATAAAGTGATATTGGAATGGAGAGTGGACCATATTATTACAGAGATAATGGATTACAAAAAATCCATTAAAAGAGAGAGAGAGTATTTGATTTGAGTTTTTGGAGATTAAATGAAGTTGAGTGAAAATGTAGGACCGAGGGGAAGATGTGTTCGGGATATTTGGAAATGGGGAAATATGAAGTGATATTGGAATAACTAGTGGGTCATATTATTACAGAGGTGATACCACGTTAGGGGAACTATCGAAATAGTGAATTTAAGAAAAATTAATGACTCTTAGATTTTTTCCAGAAATTCTAAATTTTTATAAAAACAACTTAAAAGAGTCTCAATCGGATTTGGCGATAGATATATACCCTCAACAAGTGTTCGTTAATTCAAATATATTTTAACTCCATTATGAATATCTAAACTTTCCACCCTTTTTGGGAGAGGTTCAGAGGGAGTGGGCCAATATGGTCCATTTCGTATCTGACCTAAGACTGATTTAAATATTACAACGTGTCGCACATTTGGGCTATATCGACTACTTCCTTCACTTTATATGAGATATGGGATAATTTCACTTTTTTTTGGAAAATACTGAAATCTGCGTTGGGTACCAGATGTAGTGTTCTAGATTCTCACTTTATCCAATACTGATAAAAATATAGGAATGTGCAAATGAGAGAAGTGTATTTAGATATACCAAATCAGAAAAGATTCCCTGACTTATTTTGAGAGATATAAGTACTGAAAACTGTGACCCTTTGTGGGGAGCTACCAGAAGGAGTGCACCGATATCTATCATCTTGACATCAAATCTTGCATTAGTAAAAATATTGGGATGTGTGAGATTTGAAGAGGGTCGGATGCGTATTTTGCATTTTATGGGCGTTTTGGTTAATCAAAATTTTAACCCCGTTATGGGGGAGGGACCAGAAGGAGTGGGTCGATATATCCCATATTCACAACAAACCTTGTGTGGGTAAAAATATTGGGATATGTGAAATTTTAAGAGAATCGGCTACTTAGTTAAGCTTTTATGAGCGTTTTTGTTATTCAAAATTTTGACCCCTTTGAGGGGGAGGTACCAGCAGGAGTGGGCCGATATATCCCATATTAATAACAAATCTTGCGCTGGTAAAAATATTGGAATGCGTGAAGTTTGAAAAGGATCGGATACTTATTTCGCGTTTTATGGGCGTTTTGGTTATTCAAAATTTTGAACCCTTTGTGGGGAAGGTTCCAGAAGAAGTGGACCGATATCTTTCATCTTCGTACCAAATCTTGTGTTGGTAAAAATATTGGGATGTGTGCAATTTTAAGAGAATCGGCTACTTATTTAAGCTTTTATGAACGTTTTTGTTATTCAAAATTTTGGCCCGTTGTGAGCGAGGGACCAGAAGAAGTAGACCGATACATCCCATATTCACAACACATCTTGCGCTAGTCAAAATATTGGAATGTATGAAGTTTGAAAAGGATCGAATACTTATTTCGCGTATTATGAGCTTCATGATTATTCAAAATTTTGACCCCTTTGTGGAGAAGGTCCCAGAAGGAGTAGACCGATATCCGTCATCTTCATACCAGATCTTGTGTTGGTACAAATATTGGGATTTGTGGAATTTTACGAAAATTGGATGCTTATTTCGCATTTTATGAGCATTTTATTTATTCAAAATTTTGGACCTAGCACAGATCCAAATTATTAGGATTTGCACAAAGTGGGATAATCCTTTCTTGTTCTAGAAGGTAAATTATTTTCTTGGGACATTTTGAACTTTTGTGGGGGAGGTACTAGAAGGAGTGTACCCATATGACCCATCACCGAAATCAATCAAAATATGATAATAATATTACGATGTATCAACTTTTGGCCAAAACGGATACTCCCTTCGGCAAACGGAGGAAGGATGGATGCCTCTAGATCGACTCCAAATGTCCTGAAATGGGTGTGATCCAAAGAGACTTAGGGTCTAAACCCGTGATTTCTATCAGGCGCGATATGGATGTATCAAATGATATATACGCCTGTAGCCGGTAGGCTGAGGGTATAAAATTAATGATTCTTAGATTTTTCAAGGACTATCAGAATTATAAACTTAAAGAAATCTGCATTTTAGTGAGACATTTTTTTAAACTTTTTTTCAAGGACTATCAGTCAGCGATTTTTATTTTTTTTTTTTTTTTCATTTTTTTAATAACGTTATTTTTTCCAGAATTTTAGATTCAGGTATTTTTTTTTTATATGTGTTCAAGGGCTATCACAAGCGTGTTTTTTTCAAATAATATTTCAAGGACTCTCATTTTCAGTTTTTTTTGTATTTGTTCAAGGACTATCGCAAACGTGGATTTGTTGAAAATAATTTTTTTAAGGACCTGCGTCATGGTCCGTGTATTTTTAAAAATATTTTTTTTCAAGGACTATCATAGAAGGGGACTACAAAAATAATATTTCATGGACTAGCACGAACGTGGATTTTAAAAAAAATATTTTTTCAAAGAAGGGATTTAAAAAAAAATATTTTTTTAGGGAAGGGGTTTAAAAAAAAATATTTTTTTAAGAACTATAGCGAAAGCAGATTTTTAATGTTTTTTTTTTTTCAAGGACTATAACAATAGTCGATTTCGCAAAACATATTTTCCAGCCTTTTTTCCAAGAAGAAATATTTATCGAAGGACTATCATAAACGTGAATTTTTTAAAATTGTCTGCAAAGACTGTTAAAATGTTGTTTAGAAATAAAGAAAATGAATTAAATGTTATAGTCGCCTGATGAAGAGGAAGAATAAAAGATGGTGGTGGTGATGGTGATGACAAAATGTGGAAGAAAAAAGAAACAAAATAGATAAAAAGAAAGAAATGCATTCCAAAAAAAGAAAAAGAGAAAATGAATTTTGTTGGGGGGAGGGGGGCCAGGAATCAAAGTTTCAAACCTTGCCTAACAGCAGCGGTTGAAGATAACCCCGCAAGCCCCTGCTGATGTTGTTGTAGCAATGTGGAGGAGCCTGGCGTGGTGTTGTAGCCGCTTGTCTTGTTGTAGTTGATGTTGGCGTTGTTGTTGTGGCGGTTGGTCTCTGTCATTTGAATGCTATCAATTGGTTTTCTAAAACTACTTCTATGGGATGGTGTTGCTGTTGTTGTTGCTGATGGTGGTGGTGGTGGTAGTGGTGACTGGTAGTGATGGTAGTTGTGAATATTTGTTGTGATGTTACTGTTGCTGTTGTTGTTGCCGTTGGTGTGGTTGTTGTTGTTCCATCTTAATAGCGACACAGAAGGCTTGCGATCAACTAAAGGCTGTGGTGCATCCATAGACTCATGCTGGATGGGTGACAGTGGAAGCGTGCCGGTGGTGTTGGTGGTGGAGGTTGAAGGATTACCGGTAAAGCCACTGCACCGCTCTGCAATGAGTTGTTCTGTTGATTGGTATTTTTTTTTTTTTTTTGTTTTTGAATTTTGATATGTTTTTTTTTTGTTTTGTTTTGGTTTCCAGAGAGTGTGTGTGAAAGAGAGAGCGAGGATTATGAAATGCATACAATTTTGTATATTTACATGTGTATGGGATGTGAGTGGGTGGGGTGGGTGTTGTGTGAGTGTGGGTTATGCTTGAGTTTGAATTCATGAATTTTAAAAAGGTTAAATGCAAGTTTTGAATATTTTTGTATTTAGTTAATTATAAAGCCGGGCATTTCGAAGCATTACAGTTGGGTTAAGAATTTGAAGAGTACACATATGATAAGGGAGAGGCATAAAGAGAGACAGAGAGATATAGACAAGGGAAGATCATAATGGCCTTATTTTGTTTCACACAGTGTTTCGGGATGTACCTATTTTGGATTTTTTTATAGAAATTTAGATGAGAGCCAATTTAATTTAAAAAAATTAGAACTTAAATAATGATATAATTTAAAAAAAGAATCATTTGTGGTACATACCTGCAGGTATTTAATTTTGAATACTTTCCAATTATTCCAATAGAAAAAAATTATTCTAATTTTTTGTTGTTGATTTTTTGAAATTTGTGAAAATTGTGTTTTACAAAATAAAGCTATTTAAGGTCCTCTATAGCAGGGCCAGACAAGAGTAGGCACGCGTACCTTCGCTGAGCCTAATTTTCTCCACTCTCACAACGAGTGCCGTTTAAAAACAATGTAACCAGAGAGTAAAAACATTGTGAGAACATAAATGTGCAACTCTCTCTGCCTGTCCCTGATCCATAGCCTTTGTGTTAGTGTAAATACAAAATTGAGAAAAAATGCAAACAAGAATGGCATTTTTTCCTTTTCTCGAATTTTCTCAAATATTTTTCCACTTTGTTTGAACTTTCAACCAATTTCCATGCTTTTCCGTGTAATATATGTGTATATGTGTGTCTTATGAATGATGATGAGTTATTCAAGACGTTCTTTACAACAAACTTACATGGAGCGACAAGTATAACTTGTTTGCGAAAAAGTTGTTTGATTTTTTTAAAAAGCTAAATTTTGTTTTTTGTTATTTGAAAGAAAAATTTTAGTAATTTTAGATGTTAGTCAGTAGATAGAATAGAATTATAGACACACACACAAATACATATGTATTTACACACACACATAAATATTACCATTTAAAAGGACACACACCTTTCAGTTATTAATTTAAAGTTCGAAGTTCATTTTTTATTTTGTAATCAATACTACGTAGATTATGACGATTATTCAAGTGTGAGCAATTGTTGTTATTGTTTTGAAAAAATGATGAGGTGTTAAAAAATTAGGAGTGAGAATAAAAGTTTTTATGTGGTAAGTCATAGGTCAGTTTCAAAGTAGTTACATAACCTAGAGTCAAAAATTTGCATTTCCCAGGATTAGGATTAAACGAAACATTTTTTTCAAGGATTATTCTATAAAAAGTTTAAGAGCTAACGAAGTCCGTCAGATTTTCAAAAGAAATATTTTCAAGGACATAATTTCCATGGATTTTCAAAAATTATTATTATCAAGGATTTTAGGAACCGTGAGGTAAAAAAACTGCAACAAAGTCAAACGCCAGAATTTTTAGATTTTTTTAAATTTTATTGAATGAAAGCAAAAAATGTCCGGAATAGCATCAAATTTTAGAATAAGTTTAGAATTGTTCGAATTGGCCACCTTTGGCACGAATTATGGCCTTCAAACGGAAAATGAAACCGCACACGCTGCCCGAATGTTGCTTTGCGGTATTTTGGCCGATTCCCGGCGAAGATCGACACTTTGTTACTTTCCAAAATACTCCAGACACAATAGTCCAACGGATTGGTATCCGGAGATTTTGGTAGCCATTGTGCGCTAGAAATGAAGCGAGGAAACTCATTTTGTAACCATTCTTGGGTGCTGAGTCCTGGTGGAATGTCCTGGGTCTGCGAACAAAATGTCTGCGTGCCCAAGGCTTTAATACACCCTCCAGAATATTTTCGCGATAATATTCGCCACTTATTCTGAGTGCGATGGTACTGAGTCCTGTTGGAATGTCTAAGGTCTGCGGCCAAAATGTTTGCGTGCCCAAGGCTTTAATACACCCTTCAGAATATTTTCACGATAATATTAGGCATTTATTCTGATGCAACGGTCGTTTTATAAGAGCGGAGAGCGACCATCGTCTGTTATGGCGGCCCACACCATTACCATGGCCGGCGCTTGAGTTCTGGTGGCCAACCGAAAGTGCACATTTTCAGCTGATCTGACCTCTTTGGCAAGTAAACACGAGTAGATAATTTTGTTTGTTTACAAACTGCTGGACAACGAATGTTTTCTCACCGGTGCAGAGAAAACCCAACTCGGCAGTGCACCACTTTCGGCCAACCGAGGCAACTCTTCAGGCTCTTTTGAGTCTATTTTCTTTCGGTTGCGGTGTAAGTTCGTGTACTTTTTGGAATGTCAATGGCTTTACCCCATTTTGCAATATTTGCCAAATGGAATATTGTGATATGTTCAGGTCACGAGCCATTTTTCAACCACTGCGACGCGGGTTTCGATCAAGTCGCTTCTGTACTTTTCGAACCATTTCTGCTGATGTTTCTTCCGTTCACTTCCCGTCCACGTCAAGGAACGTCGGGCTACGCTACAGTATCACGGTAACGAGCGATGGTAAAAGACACAAACTATTTATTTACATTTAAATGCTGGAGTGCTCTAAAGATAGCCACTTGTGGTTATACGGCCAAATGTAAAAAAATCACACTATCCCGCTTGAATTCCATCACGAATAACTTTTTTTCTGGAAAATTCTCACCAAAATGCTTCCGTACGCTTGTAAACAATATAATGAGCTGTCACTGGAATAATTTTAACAGCTGTCGGACGAGAGGTTTAGAAATGACAACAGTCTGAATTTTCTTTGCAGTTTTTTTCATCTCACCCTGTATAGCCTCATATCTTTGGACGAACTTCGTTTCATGACATTTGGGGTCGATCCAGCGGTGTCAGTCTTGAAAGATATTTTACCTCTATCTCTAAAAGTCCATTGAATAAATATTTTTTTTTTAAATAGATGGATGTCGTAGATGGTCCTACAAAAAATGCCAAAAAAATTCCTGACTCCAATAATCATTGAAAAATATTTTTAAAACATCAAAAGTTTCTAAAATCCTAGGAAAAAATAATTTTTGAAATCCACGAAAACTATGTCATTGATTTTTTTTATTCCATCTATCTAGCAGGCTATTGCGAGCGATAGATCTCGAAGAAAATATCCGAATTGGTCTCAACTTGGTATGTCGTAATATTATTATCAAACTTAGATCGAATCGGAAGATAGGCAATATCGGTCCAAGAAAATAACATCTAATTTTGTACATATTTTGTCTAGGGCTATCAGATCCTTTGATTTTCAAAAAAAGTTTTAGTAGGTTTTTCACTTCTTGTTCAAGGAATCGTGAATTTTTATTTTTTTTTTTTTTTCATTTTTTTTTTATTTTAAGGAAGGGTGATTTTTTTTAAATATTCTTTTAAGACATACCAGAGAAAACATTTTCCAAGGACTATTTTAAATTTTGGATTTTTATAAAAATTGTTTGCAAACTCTCTGAAAGTCATGGTATTTTCAAAAACATTTTTCCCAGGACCACCATAAATGTTCATTGTTTTAAATATAAATGAAAACCCCTAACCTTTCCCATTGTTTTATTCAATATCAATATATCAATTAAAGTTCATATGTATATCTATGTACGTTGGTGCTGCCAGTTATGTTCGTCTACATATGTCTGTTTACAGAGATTAGTGTTGTAGTTCAATATTTTATTAGTGTTAGTTGTTGAGTAAAGTTTTAGTTTGCTTAGCTCTTGACAGTGTATGCACATGGGTGTCTGTGTGTGTGTGTGAATGTTTGCATTTGCGTGACAGAGTAAGTTGTAGTTATTGTTATTGCCGGTTATTGAAATTACACATATGTATATTACACCATGTACTACCCGCTTGGAAGTGGAACTAGTGGGATGAAGTTGAAGTTCTATGTTTCACTAAATTGCTGAGAAAAAGGAATTGAAACATTGGTACAGGAAATGGGTTATATCGATCTACTTTTTTGGAATACCCTCGATATAAGACGTCAACTTTACGAAATAGAGATTTCTTTTCTCTGGTGACTTATAGTAAAATTTTATGAAGAATATTTTTGTCCTTGTCTTCACCCTTCTAAAATGATGTTTTGTTGGAGATTTCTGCACAAACTCACACAAACTACTGATTTAACCCTAAAATGTGTTTTTAATAATTATGAATTCCTGGCGTTCGGATAAATTTTAGACCCATGACGTATTCTAGGACCTATAGCAGAATTTTATGACAAATCATTTTGTAGAATATTTTGACTTGCTATGATCCCTTTTAAAGGGAGTTTTTAACGCTCTTTTAAACAAGGGACCAAAAAGACCCCTTTGTCGAGTGGTTTGAGCTCTAAAATTTTCCACAAAAATTTTCCTTGTATTTTTATCTGCAATATTGCCAAAGGCACCATATACCTAAAATAAATGGATTCTGAGGAATCTTTTTTTGAAAATTTTCAAAAATTTGTGGAAGAGAGAGGAACTTGTTCCGTCTTTTCGATGCACCAAACGTGTAATATTAGCCTAAATGGGATGGAATTTAGCACTTACGACCAAATTGAGTCGAGAAACAGGTACGCCAAATTTGGTGAAAATCGGTTCAGATATAGCTATAGCTCCCATATATATTGTTAATCCGATTTGTTATTTTTGTCCTCCGCAACCGTAATATGCACTCTATAACAACGATATTTGGAGAAATATATTAAATACAGCACAGAAATATATGTCCCAAATATTATCAAGATCGGTTCAGATTTGAATATAGCTCCCATATATATCTTCGTCCGGTTTGCCATTTTTTGTGCACCGAACATGTAATATCGGCTCAAATGGGATGAAATTTGGCACTTGCGACCAAATTGAGCCTAGAAAAAAGTGTGTCAAATTTGGTGAAAATCGGTTCAGATATAGCTATAGCTCCCATACATATTGTTAATCCGATTTGTTATTTTTGTCCTCCGCAGCCCTAATATGCACTCTTTAACAAAGATATTCGGGGAAATATACCAAATAGAGCTCAGAAATATCTTTGCCAAATTTTATCGAGATCGGTTTAGTTTTGGATATAGCTCCCATATATATCTTCGTCCGATTTGCCTTTTATTGTGCAAAGAACGTGTAATATAAGCCCAAATGGGATGAAATTTGGCACTTGCGACCAAATTGAGCCTAGAAAAAAGTGTGTCAAATTTGGTGAAAATCGGTTCAGATATAGCTATAGCTCCCATATATATTCCTCATCCGACTTGTTATTTTTGTCCTCCGCAGCCGTAATGTGCACTCTGTAACAATGATATTGGGGGAAATATATCAAATAAAGCACAGAAATACCTTTGCCAAATTTTATCAAGATCGGTTTAGATTTGGATATAGCTCCCATATATATATCTTCGTCCGATTTACATATTATTGCGCTCCAAACTTGTAATATTAGTCCAAATGGCATGAAATTTGGCACTTACGACCAAATTGAGCCTAGAAACAGGTATGTCAAATTTGGTGAAAATCGGATCAGAATTGGATATAGCTCCCATATATATTTTTCATCCGATTTGTTATTTTTGTCCTCCGCAGTCGTAATATGCACTCTGTAAGCACGATATTTGGGGAAATATATCAAAAACAGCTAAGAAATACGTTCGCTAAATTTTATCGAGATCGATTCAGATTTGGATATAGCACCATATATATATATACCTTCGTCCGGTTTGCCATTTATTGTGCACCGAACGTGTAATATCGGCTCAAATGGGATGGAATTTGGCACTTACGACAAAATTGAGCCTAGAAACAGATATACCAAATTTGGTGAAAATCGGTTCAGATATGGCTATAGCTCCTATATACATATATTGTTCTTCCGATTTGTTTTTTTTTTTTTTTGTCCTCCGCAGCCGTTATATGCACTCCGTAACAACGATATTTGGGGAAGTATATCATATATAGCTCAGAAATACCTCTGCCAAATTTTATTGAGATCGGTTCAGATTTGGATATAGCTCCCATGTATCTGTATCTTCCTCCGATTTGCCTTTTATTGTGCACCGAACTTGTAATATTTGCCCAAATTGCATGGTATTTGGCACTAACGACCAAATTGAGCCTAGAAATAAGTATGTCAAATTTGGTGAAAATCGGTCCAGGTTCGGATATAGCTCCCATACATATATCTTCATCCGATTTACATATTATTGCGCACCAAACTTGTAATATTAGTCCAAAAGGCATGGAATTTGGCACTTACGACCAAATTGAGCATAGAAACAGGTATGCCAAATTTGGTGAAAATCCGCTCTCCCATATATCATCTTTTAGAATTTCTTTACTGGTTTTAGATCTAGTTTCGTGATATTCTGCAGAAAAGAACAAAGGAGCGTGGGGCCAAAATCGAACTTAGTCAACCTAATACTCCTTTGTTTCTCTACGAAGAAGCCAGCCGATGACTTTTTCAAAAATCCAAAATTTTAGAATTTTAAATATTTTCCAAAGTTTTTGTTTTCAAGAATTTTTATTTGAAACTGTACTATGTTTAAATTCAACATCTGCAACCAAAAGTCGAATTACTTCCTCTCTAAGTTTCTCTATTTTTGATTTCCTTGCAAAATGTAACCTTAGTGACTCAATTAGTAACCCATACCAAATGACCACTTTCCTCTCAAAGCGAGTAGTATTTATTTTAGTAATTTATGAAGAGATTCATTTTTTGGTGTTTTAGTAGTGGTATGTGTGTATGAGTGTGATTTATTTGTAATGAAAGACAGACATCAAGAGTATGAATGTATGTGTGTGTGTGTATGTGATATGCCTTTAATTTTCATTAACTGTTTTTTTTTTGTATTTGTTTGTTGTTGGTGTGAATGAATGACTGAGTGAGTGAGTGATTTTTTTTTTGTTTGTTTGGTTTTCGGGTGAGCGCCTACCTTCGCCCACATCATAACCCGGCCGATTCGGTGAGAAAAACAGATGTGTCCTGTAGTGTATGTCGTCGGACTGCGATGTGAGACCCATGTCACGCGAGCGTTTAGTACGATTTGCTTTCGTTTGTAATTTACTACCGCCACCACCGCTCTTGCCGCTGGCACCCTCACGAAAATTCTTGCGAAACATTAAATTCATTTTGAGTTGTTGTTATTTGTGTTTTATTGAATTTATTGTGTTTGGGTTTTTATTTGTTGTTGTTGTAGTTTATTTTGTTTGTTTTTTGGGGAGGTTTCAAAGATTTTGAGATTTCGTTAAGCAACAACAAATGGATGCAATCAATGAATGGTTGTTCGTTGTTTAGGGTCTTCTGACTTTGATGAATGTCTCAATTTTTGTAACGAGACCCAGGTCTGAGGTGGCTACGTTTGGTGTAAACGATATATGTATGTAGGATTTGTTGTAATGTTAGAGGGCTGTATGTATGTGAGGGTGTGTGTGTGTTTTGTGTGGGGTAAGTGTAGAACAAGTTCATTTGACCAGTTTAGCAGTTGGGCTGCCCCAAAAATTTCCCAGTGAAGAGATTTTTTTGCGAAATGTGGGGTATTTGAAAAAAATCGGATATTTTGTAATAAAAATTATTTAATTGACTGGTTTCCTAAAAGGGGACCAGTGACAAGATTTAAATCGAATGATACTCCTTTTTTTTTGAGGGAACTATAGTACCTCTATCCATGATGGGGAATTTTATGGGATTTTTTCAAGGATAATATGATCTGTTCCAGAACTGCACCGAAGCCAAAAAATTTGCATTTGAAAAAAAAATTAACATTCAAATCTTGTTCTTTGGATGGGAATATATTTTTTAACTATTGTGAGAGACATTATTTTTATACAAGAATTTGAGGAAAAAAATATTCTCTGAGATACTCTAAGTTCTCTCATGAGCGAAAATTGTAATTTCTAAAAATTTACATTTTGTGATATTCAATACCTTATTAGTCCAGACCCTAACTTCATTTTATCAAATTTTTGAATCAAACTTGAACGCATTTGTTCACTGGGTTATCATAAGGTGCTTTTCTTTTTATTGCTGTAAAATATTTCTTGTTTTTTTTTTTTTTTTTTTTTTTTTTTTTTTTGGATAGAAAATTTCCCTTACATTTTGTTGTAACATGCAACAGTTTTGTTGTGGTTTTTTGTATTTCAAATTAGTTTTCCCTCCGGCCCTTTTGTAAGTCATTTAAAACACTTAAGTAGCAGTATTTCGTTTTCTTTTTTTTTTTTGGTTACCGGAAACCGGAAATGATTAATATCCGCTGTGAGCGCGCCCATTTGTAGTTAACTTGCCATTACAGGACATTAGACTTTGCCGTTATAAGTTTTTGTCTTCTTTGTAAAATAACTTTCATTCCTTAATCCTTGGTTGAGTAATTAGGGTCTTTGGTGGCATTTTTTGAGTGATTAGTTCAATTTATTAATTTATGAATATAAAAGAGGCAAAGGGGAGGGGGAAGGAGATGACTGGGCCATCAATTGAAATATTTCCAACGGCTAGTTGAGCTGAAAATGCAAATTATGTTGAGGAATTTCTTTGACATAGATTCTAAAGAATAAAAAAAGAAGATCCTTTAAAGAAGATTGTGAGATATAAATGGCTATTTTTAGCCATTTTTCTAAGGATAGCGATTTTTGTACCCTCAGTCATATGGCTAGAGGCTATATATCATTTGATACGACCAAAACGTGCCTCATCGAAATAAGGGTTTTAGATCCTTGGTCTCTTTGAACCAAATCTGTTTTAGGACTTTTGAAGTCGATCTAGCGATGTTCGTCCGTCTATCTGTCTGGCTGGCCGGTTGGTGCTCACGATAATTCTCGAAGGGATTATACAATTTGATCCAAACTTGGTATATCGCAATATTATTGTCAAACTTAGATCGAGTTCGGATACGGGTAATATCGGAGCACTTCTTCTGGTACCTCCCCCACAAAATGTCTACATTTTCAAAGAAAACTATTTACTGCACAGATAGAGAAGGGGTTATCCGATTTTGCTCCAACTTTGCAAATCCTATTATTTACATCAATGCTAAGTCAGGTGCGAAAATGGACGATATCGATCCACTCCATTCAGTACTTCCCCCACAAAGGGTCAAAATTTTGAATAATTATAACTCTTATAAAATATGGTGTGAGTGTCCGATTGTCTTTAAATTACACACATCACAATATTTTTATTAACCCAAAGTCTGGTATGTAGATGGGAATTATCGGTCCACTTCTTCTGGTACCACCCCCACAAAGGGTCAAAATTTTGAATATTCATGAAATTCATTAAACACGAAATTAACATCCGATTCCATTCAGAACTGGTACATCTCAATATTTCTATCAACACAAGATTTGTTAAAAAAATGGCAAAGATCGGACCATTCCTTCGGGTACCTCCCCCACAAAGGGTCAAAATTTGGAATAACCAAAACGATCATAAAATCCGAAATAAGCATCCGCATCTCTTCATATTTCACACATTTCACTATTTCCTTCAACACAAAATCTGCTGTGAAGATAGGATAAATCGGTCCACTCCTTCTGGAACCTTCCCCACAAAGGGCCAAACTTTTGGATAATCGTTAAGCTCATAAAATACGAAATTAACATTCGATTCCATTCAGACTTGGCATATCTCAATATTTCCATCAACACAAGATCTGCTATAAAGATGGTAGAGATCGGACCATTCCTTCTGGTACCTCCCACACGAAGGGTCAAATTTTGGAATAACCAAAACGAGCATAAAATCCGAAATAAGCATCCGCTTCTCTTCATATTCCGCACATCCCATTATTTCTGCCAACACAAGATCTGCTGTGAAGATAGAATATATTGGTGAACTCCTTCTGGTACCTCCCCCACAAAGGGTCAAAATTTTATAATATTTATGAAGCTCAAAAAACACGAAATTAACCTCCGATTCCATTCAGACTTGACATATCATAATATTTCCATCAGAACAAGATCTGTTATAAAGATGGTAGGGACCGGACCATTCCTTCTGGTACCTTCCCCCCAAAGGGTCAACGTTTTGAATAACAAAAACGATTATAAAATCCCAAATAAGCATCCTGTTCTCTTCAAATTACACACATCACAATATTTTTACTAAACCAAGGTCTGGTATGAAGATGGAATATTTCGGTCTACCACTTCTGGTACCTCTCCCACAAAGGGTAAAAATTTGGAATAACCAAAACGATCATAAAATCCGAGATAAGCATTCGCTTCTCTTCATATTCGGCACATCACATTATTTTAATTTACCCAAGATCTTCTGTGTAGATAGGATATATCGGCCCACTCTTTCTGGTACCTCCCCCACAAAGGATAAACATTTTGAATATTCATGAAGCTCATAAAACGAGAAATTAACATCCAATTCCATTCAGACTTCGTACATCTCAATATTTTTTAACTACATTCTCCGATGACTCAGCTTATATAAAATGCGTAATCTGTTTGCTCAAATTTCTCCCCAATCTCAAAATAGGTCCCATTAAATACCCAATGTTCACACGACAAAAGAAGGAATTAAAGTTTCGAAAAAGGTTATGGTAATTGCTTATGGGATTTAAGTACTAGTATACACCAATAAAACACATACTTCACACACACACACACACACTCACACATCTAAAACCTATTTAAATACAAAAACGGAACTTTGTTGGTTATGACTCCAACTAACAACAAACAAACCAATAGAGAGGGAGAGAGAGGCAGGAGAAAGCAAATGTGAGAATTTGTTTTATTTTATAGTTGGCCAAAAATAACAAGAAAATTGTTCCGGTTATTTACATTAATGGCCTTATAATAACCATAAACATATTTGTTGTTCGAACAAATAATACATGCCATCAAATGGTATTACCATAAATTAGAAGAAACTTCGCCAGGAAGGTAGGTATGTAGGTTTGGATGGAGGTCCATAAAAGTCAACGACTTTTAAGGAAAACTAGTTTGTTTTCCTTTTTTTGTTTGAATTTCTTGGTGACACGCAAAGCTTATTAGCATGTCCCCCTAATCTCTCTCCCTCTCTCTCCCTCTCTTTCTCTCTGCCAATAACGGTTGACAAGTAAAATCTCTTGTATTTGAAGTTCATGGTACAAACAGAGATTCTCTCTCATTCCCCTAAATTGTTTGAGGATAATTGGTATTGTAGAATTTGCCACACGCAGCCAAGTGTGTGTGTGTGTGTGTGTTTGTCTCTGAGAGCGCAAGAGAGGGCAGTTGGGTGGGAGTTAACGAGAGATTGAATAATCATTAAACACACTTATATAAATATTTTAACACAACATTAATTCAAGACCAAATCAAATTGGCTCCTATCCAAATTGAATTGTCGCTTGTCCTTGGTCGGATTTGTGTGATGTGAATTGAATGGCATGGAATGTGGAATAGGCCTAATGCATGGAGGAGGCAGCATTTCAAGAGCTTGGCTATGGAGGCTATGGACTTGTTTTTCAATCAGAAAGCAATTTGTTTTGCATGAATTGAAAATGACATTTTATTATGGAAACTATAATGAATTTTTTGTAATAAGATAACGAAGGAGCAAATGGGAGAGGGGGAGAAGGGAGGGGAAGGGATGAACAATTCGGGAAACTGCTGCCATTTATTGGCAATGAAATTTGATGAGCCCTAAATTAAATAGATTTAAGTAATGAATGTGAATATTTTTTGGGATGCTATTTTTAGAAGGCTCGGAATGGGGTCAAAGGATAACTTTTTTGAAAAAAAAAAAAAAAACGGTGATTTGATGAAGACGTCAATTAATTTATAGAAATTTTGAGTTACAAATGAATGAAAGAATGAAATGTCTCACTCCCATAAATATCTCTGTAAGGTTCAATTTCTCTCTTTCTCCCTTTTTATACCCACAGCCATATGGCTAGCGAGGGTATATATTATTTGATACGGCCAAAACGTGCCTCATCGAAATAATGGTTTTAGACCCTAGGTCTCTCTGGACTAAATCGATATAGCGATATCCGTTCGACTTTCTGTCTGTTTGGCGATAACTCTAGAAGGAAGTATTCGATTTCATCCAAACTTGGTACATCGTAATATTATTGTCAAACTTAGATCGAGTTCGAAGATGGGCAATATCGGTCCAGCCCTTCTTGTAGCTCCCCCATAAAAGGTAGAAATTTTCAGAAAAACTATTTTATTGCACAAAAAGGGAAAGCATAATCCGATTTTGCTCAAACTTTGCAAATCAAAATATTTGTGACCGTGCTAGGTCAGGTGCGAAATTGGACAATATTGGTCCACTCCAAAAGGTACCTGCCCAACAAAGGGTCAAAATTTTGAATTATTATAACTCTTATAAAAAGTGATGTAAGAGTCCGATTGTCTTAAA